TAGTTGTCCTGTAGCCTGATAAGTCTGTCCTGTACTGCAGGTACTGAGGCTTCAAGTATGGTATCCGGAAGGCAGGAAGGGTGGAATCCATAATTAGCCCAGAATGGCGACTGATTCCTAGCAGAATGGATAGAATTGTTGTAGTCATCCTGGGAAATGGTGGAGAAACATTGTAGATATTGTTCTAAAGTTTGGTTCGTCCACTCTGTTTGGCCATTACTTTGAGGGTGGTAAGCAGATGATAGGCAGAGTTCCACTTTCAGGGTTTTGCACAGGGCTCTCCAGAACCTGGAGCTAAATTGCACCCCTCGGTCAGAAACAATATTGCTGGGTAGTCCGTGCAGCCTCACAATCTCCTTGATAAAGGCATGTGCTGATTCAGGCGCAGACGGGGGTACCTATCATTGGAAGGAAGTGTGCCATTTTGGATAGCCGATCTATCATCACTAGGATGGTAGTAAACCCCTCAGAGGGCGTAAAGTCCACAATGAAGTCCATTGCAATCATTTCCTAGGGGCGATTAGGAATGGGCAGGGGTCTCAGTAGCCCCCATGCCTTGGTTTTCTCTCCCTTGCTGCGTAGGCATACTGTGCAGGATTTTACGTAGGCTCTGCAATCCTGACTTAAGTTGGGCCACCAAAAGGACTGTTGGATTAGTTCCATAGTTTTAAGGGCCCCGAAGTGTCCAGCAAGTTGATGGTCGTGAAATTATCCTGAAAACCTGGGATCTTACCTCCTGGGGTACAAAGATCTTATCTTAGTGCCACAGAAAGCCATTCTGCCTCCTTACGAGTCTGGATTGGGTTCGGTGTAGCGTGCCGAAACCTATTTAATCAATGATCTTAGACTGGGTTGGATTAGCAAAAAATTTTGGGCAGACAGGATGGTGTCGGGGGGCGAAGGTTCAACTGAATCTGGGAACATACGGGATAGGGCATCTGCCTTCCCATTCTTAGTTCCTGGGTGGTAGCTTATATGAAAAATGAATCTGGAGAAGTATAAGGCCCATCTAGCTTGCCGGGGTCTTAGGCTTTGGTGGATCTTAAATATTCTAGATTCTTATGATCTGTGAAGATCATACTCGAGTGACTAGCTTCTTCCAAAAGGTAACTCCATTCTTCGAAGGCTGTTTTGATCGCCAGAAGTTCCCTATTGCCTACGTCCTAGTGCTTTTCCGCTTGGCTTAGTTTCCTGGAACAAAAGGCTACTGGATGGAGCAAGGCTTTTGGACCTTGGTGTTGCGAGAGTACTGCTCCTGTAGCCACCTCCGATGCGTCCACCTCCAGGATGAAGGGAAGTGTTGGTTCCAGGTGTTGTAACACAGAAGCCGATGTAAATTGCTTCTTTAGTTGCTCGAAGGCTATTTGTGCTCTCGGGCTCCAGAAAAAAACATGCATGCTGGCGGGCGAGTTGAGTATTCGGGCCAATAATGGTTGAAAAGTCTTAGATAAACTTCCGATAGAAGTTGGCAAAGCCCACAAATCTTTGGAACCCTTTCTTGTCAATAGGTTGCAGGCCACTCCAAGATGGCAGAGATTTTCTGAGGATCCATGGAGATTCCTTCAGTGGAGATGACGAGCTCCAGGAACTGGACTGACTGTTTCTCAAATTCGCATCTTTCCGCCTTATCGTACAGGTTATGCGTCCTCAGCATAGTTAGTACCTTCTTAACTGTCAGGGCAGGAGCTGAGGAACGGACAGGCAGGCCTAATAACAATGTAACACACTGGCTGACAACAACCACCACCCACAGACCGAAGTCCCTCAGGGCGCGGAGTCTAAGTCCCAGGCTGCTCTTCACCAGGGCCCCTGATGGTGGGGATGGACTTGACGCAGCCAGGAACCAGGTCGCGGCCCCCGAGGCACCCCAGCTGTGGTAATGGCCGCCGCCAATGGTGTGTAGCTAGTGGAAGAGACAATAGAGTAGTCGGGCAGACTGGGTCGACAACAACGAGGCAAAATGGTACAGGACAGCAGACAAGAATCACAGGTCATGGGCCGGGATCAGCAACGGAGGGTCAGATCAAAGGAGTACACAAAGAATGGTCCAGTAACAAGCCGAGTCAGATTCCAGGAGAGTAACGAGAGTCAGAACAGAGTAGTAGCGACACAAGGACACAAGACACAAGTGCAAAGAGCATGTGCGGATCACAGGCTTATATGTAATCAGCCACACCCCTCTGGGGGATGTACCTCAGAGACCTGAAGGCATAAAATATTCCCACCATGCTCTGCAGAAATCCAAGATGGCCACCAGCACATGGAGTAACAGACCTCTGGGAAAAGGTAGGACCTTGACATTAACATGGTATCGGTGGATTTCCAGAGAGTTCGAGAAAATTAAGATGTCGTCCAGGTAGACCATCATGAAGAGATCGAGGTATTCCCTGAAGATGTTGGAATGTCGCAGGGGCGTTGCATAATCCAAACAGCATCACCAGGTACTCAACGTGACCAAAGCGTGTTCTGGAGGCGGTTTTCCACTCATCACCTTCCCCAATGCAAACTAAATTGTAGGCCCCTTGTAAATCTAGTTTAGTGAACACTTGGGCTGTCTGGAACCTCTGACATAACTCGGGAACGAGACGGAGTGGGTACCGATTCTTAATGGTGATCTTGTTGAGCTCTCTATAGTCGTTGCAGGGTCGGAGAGTTTGATCCTTCTTTTCAATGAAGAAAACACCTGCTCCGGCAGGGGAGGAAGAAGGGTGGATGAATCCTTTGGCAAGGTTCTCATCAATATATTGCCGGAGGGCTTCCAGCTCTAGTTCGGACAATGGGAAAATTCGTCCAAACGGTATATCTGCCCCTGGAAGCAGTTCAATAGGGCAGTCGTAGGGTCAATGAGAAGGCAAAGTGTTGGACTTTTTGTTATCGAACACATCCAGGAAACTGTGGTAGGCAGAAGGAACAGATTGACTAGCATCTGAAGTAGGCTGAACTGAAAGGCACACAGGGACATTGGAGGGTGTGGAGCTGCTGCAGTGTTGAAGGCAGTAACTCAATGGGAAGGTAATTTCTTTCCTGAGACCGTTGATTTGTGGGTTGTGGGCTTGCAACCATGGTATTCCTAGGATGGCTGGGAGCATAGGGGATCTAAGGACATCGAAGCGGATGAATTCCTGGTGGCCGGAATATGTTGTCGCTAGGATGGGAATGGTTTCCTGGGTAACGGGTCCTGAACTAGGGGTGGTGCTGTCTGCCAGTAATACATCCAGCCTTTGTTTTTTAGGAAGCAGCGGAATATCTAGGTTCTTGGCAAGGTTGATGTCCAAGAAGCAGCTACAGGCTCTTGAATCAACGATTGCCCGCAACTTGACTTCCCTTCCAGCCACCTGTAATGACATGGGTAGAATAACATGGGTGGTTAGGGTTCCGGACAACTGGAGATAAGAGGGATGAGGTTGGCTGAACTTGATCGCAGAGGGAAGTCGCGTAAGAAATAGCCTATGGCCCTGCAATAAAGACATAGGTTGCCTTGCCTTCTGCGTGCTCTTTCCTCTGGAGTTAAAGCTAGTCGGAGAAGGCCGATTTGTATGGGCTCTACTTCCGAGGTGCCGATGGGCGGAGGAATAAGGACAGGAGCCATTGGTCTTGGAAACTTTGGCAGAACCCACGTAGGGCGAAGGGACGTCTTTCCCGTAGCCATCGATCTAATTGGGTAGCGAGCTGGTTGAGGTCCTCCAGGGAGGAGGGAGTTTCCACCCTAGCTAGTTCGTCCTTAAGGGATTCGGACAGGCCCAGACGTAACTGGTATTTTAGTGCTGCATCATTCCACCCGGTGTTTGCTGACCATTTGCGGAATTCCATAATGTAGTCCTCCACAGGCCATCGGCCTTGTTGTAAAGCATGGAGGGCGGACTCAGCAGTGGAGGTTCTCTAGGGATCATCATAGAGAGCCGCCATGGCTTTGAAAAATGTGATCACAGAGTTGAGTGCGGGGTTCCTTTGTTCTAGTAGGCAGTGTGCCCATGATTAAGGTTTGGCAAACAGAAGAGAGATGATGAACCCTACTTTAACCGCCTCTAGTGAGAAGGTCCTTGGTTGCAATGCGAAATACAGCTCACAAGCGTTTTTAAAGGCTCGGAATTTTCATCGGTCTCCTAGGAAGTGTTCAGGGATGGGGACCCTGGGCTCCGGAGGCGGTAGTACCACAGCAGGTGTAGCGTTAGGAGGCGGACTGGCTGGTGCGACTATAGATCTCAGACTAACCAACGGACTCTGGTCAGCAGAAGTCGCGGAAGTAGTAAGCGAAAGAAGGCGTCCTTCCAGCTGGAAGTATCCTTCCTGCAGATCTTTAACTGCTTGCTTGAGGGCCGTCATCTGTTGGTACAGGGCCTCTAGTGCGGAAGCACCTCTCTCGGCCTCAGACATATGGCTGGTTGATACTATCACGTACCTGGTGACAGAGGCCAATGGAGAGAAGGCTTCCCTTGTGGCTAAGTTCCAGACTCCCCTGAAGGTGGGACAGCAGGAGTCAGGCCCAGAGTAGCACAGATGGCCTGTGGGAGTGCTCGTTTGGGGGTCCACCCAGGAGCACGGCTGATGCGCTGAGATGAGGTCTGCAGGCAGGGGGTGCCTGTGTGAGGTAAGCAGGTCTTCCAGAGAAAAGAGGATCACTGGATAACCATTTTGAGCCAGGTGGGGATCGGAGCAGACATAGTCAAAAGGGATAGCCGAGGTCATACACAGAGAGCAGGAGAGAAGATCCGTTAGACAAACCGGTGTCAGGTCGGGATTAAACAGAGCAGAACAGGTCCAGGAGCAAGCCGAGTTGTTAACAGGAAATCACAAGTCAGGATAGCAAGGGAACGAAGGTACTAGGGAGCCAGAAATCAACCAGCACCTGAGAGTAGTGCAGGGCTTCCTTATAAAGGTCGTTTGGCGCCAAATTTGAGCCGATGTGAACTTCTGCGGCCATGCAAGGTACTGGCAGGGGTGCCAGGTCTCCTAAAACCTCTGCCGAGGACAGAGCCCTGACATCCCCCCTCCACCAAACTTTACACTTGGCACAATGCAGACAGGCAAGTACCGTTCTCCTGGCAACCGCCAAACCAAGACATATCCATCGGCTTGCCAGACAGAGAAGTGTGATTCATCACTCCAGGGAACATGTCAACACTGCTCTAGGGTCCAGTGGCGGTGTGCTTTACACCACTGTATCTGCCGCTTTGGATGCAGCTGCTCGGCCATGGAATCCCATTCCATGAAGCTCTCTACGCACTGTTGCGCTAATTGGAGACTTCTGTGCACTGTGCGCTTCAGCATGCGCTGACCCTGCACTTTAATTTTACGTGGCCTACCACTTCATGGCTGAGTTGCTGTTGTTCCCAGCTGCTTCCACTTTGTTATAATACCACTAACAGTTGACCTTGGAATATTTAGTAGCAAAGAAATTTCATGGATGGACTTACGGCACAGGTGGCAAGCTATCATGGTACCATGCTTGAATTCACTGAGCTCCTGGGAGTGACCCATTCTTTCACAAATGTTCGTAGAAGCAGTCTGCATGTCTATGTGCTAGATTTTATACACCTGAGGCCATGGAGGTGATTGGAACACCTGAATCCAATGATTTGGAGGGGTGTCTCAATACGTTTGTCAATATAGTGTTTGGCAATAAAGGTGTAAAATATGAATGAACAAAGCAAACAAACACAAAACAAAAAAAGTTTAAATATTATGAGTTAATAAAATAGCAACAAAAAAAAGCAGCAGAAAAATTATAATTGAATGGAGAATGAGTTAATTAGGGCTGATTAGAAGTAAATTAAGGGTTAATAAGGGATTAAACAGAGAAACATTTATTAACCACCTCCCGCCCGCCATATAGTCCACTGACGGGCGCAAGGTGGTTCTCTCGTTCTGGGAGGACGTCATATGACATCCTCCCATTCTCACAGCGCATGCGTGGCTCAGGGAGCGCACAGCGTGGCGATCGGCGGTGCGCTGTGTCCCTCGAACACAGCAGATCACCGATCTACGGAAAGAGCCAAAGATGTCGGCTCGGTCATGTGATCAGCTGTGTCCAATCACAGCTGATCACATATAAACAGGGAAATGCCAGTTATCGGCATTTCTCTCCTCTCGAGCTGTCATGCTGACAGCTCGAGAGGAGAGGAGAGCCGGTAATCGACATTCCGCGGAGGGGACATGTACACTTATCATCAGAGCACTGATGATCAGTGTAGCTCCAGCAGTGCCACCACCTGTCAGTGTCCATCAATGCTAGCAGTCAGTGCTCATCAGTGCCACGTGCCAGTGCCCATCAGTGCCACATCAATGCCACATATCAGTGCCAATCTGAGCTGCCTTTCAGTGTCACCCATCAGTGCCAGTCAGTGCCACCTATCAGTGCCAGTCAGTTCTGCCTATCAGTCAGTGCTGCTTAACAGTGCCAGCCAGTGCCGCCTATCACTGCCATATATCAGTGCTGCTTTTCAGTGCCCATCAGTGATGCCTGTCAATGCCCATCAGTGCCACCTACCAGTGCCTCCTCATCAGTGCCACCTATCACTGTCCATCAGTGCAGCCTATCAGTGCCCATCACTGCAGCCTCATTAGCGCACATTAGTGAAGGAGAAAAATCACTTATTTACAAAATTTTACAACAAAAACTAAGAAAAAACTTTTTTAAAAAAAAATTTCAGCGGTTTTTAGTTTGTTTAAGAAAAAAATAAAAAACCCAGAGGTGATTAAATACCACCAAAATAAAGCTCTATCACAAAAAATTATAAAAAAATTCATATGGGTACAGTGTTGCATGACTGCACAATTGTCACTCCAAGTGCGACAGCACTGAAAGCTGGAAATTGGCCTGGGTACGAAAGGGTTATAAGTGCCCTGTAGGCTCGTGGTTAAAGGAATGAGGTGGCAACCCTAGCAAGGGGCAGGTGACAGCATGCTGGTTTTGGACAGTACTGTAATGAGCTCCCACAGCCAATAGTAGGCGCTGCAGAGCGCAGGAGCTAGATCTCCAAAAGCAGAGACTGACCACTGTAGTCTGTCCCCGCTGCTCTCCCGGAAGACTAAAGATGGCGGCTCCTACGGCACTTGTACAGTACTGTGGCTCTCGTACAGCTTTGTGTTACATCCCTCCGAATATGTATAACGGCGGTTTATGCTGTGACCGAGTTCATACTGTTACGTTTCCATTTCGTGTGCTTTGTTTTGAAATGTTATGCCAAGCTGGGAAACTACACAGAAGTCTTGCTTTGCCCTTAGTTAAGATGACCGCAAGTTAATTGCACGCCCGGCTTGTAGCCACTCCCCCTAGAAATGGTTGGCGAACGAGTGGGAGCGTCCAGCAACGAGGAGGCGTGTCTGCATTGGTTGGGGAGCGAGGCGCGAGCTGTGGAGTACTGAGGTGAGCTGTCGGCGGTGGGTTGGTGCAGGATAGACAGAGACGTGGCCTAGGTTGGGGTGTTCATGTGAGGGGGGCAGAGATAGTCCTGGACGGTGCATGTGAAGAGTGCGCTGTGGCTTTGTGTCATTGTCCGGCACGGCCAGGGGAGCACGCTGTCTGCAATGAGGAGGAGAAGATAGTGTGTGTGCCCCTAGATAGACTGTGTGCATCGCACAGGATGTCACCTGCAGCTGGAAAGTTCTGTTCCTTGGACATGGCTACTCCTCATGCTCGGCACATTCCTGCATTCTCGTCTCATTTATTTGCGTGTGTCTCCCCTTCCTTCTGCTTGGATTCTGTGGATTTAACAGTTCTGCACTCATCCTCCGTACTTTGTCAGCTTTCCTAATAGTTTTCCCTGGTAATGTGGGACGTAGCCGGATGTTTTCTGTAACCAGAAAGTATCTTATGAATCTATTCAGGAGAATGATGCAGTGGCTGAGATAGTATGGCATGTTAAGGGATTGGTCAGCCTTTGCAACTTCTCTGAAAAGCGATCTGCAGTGGATCTCTTTTTAGAGGTCTGTTGACAGGTGACATGTTTACTCACCACTTATTTAAGTGCAGGTTCACATTGAAAAGCACACATTCCTGTGTGATTCCTTGCATTCCAGTTTTGACAGTCCCTTCCTTTAGTTGGGCTTCAAAAATACTGGAACTTGCAAAACGTAATAACACACTACTTTTGAAAATCGCACCACGCCAAACCGTATGGTACTGTAGTACCATGCAGTTTGCTGGCCGTAAACGTGTTGCTTTTGAGTTGCCGTTATTTGATACTGCCACTGCGCAAAGCTGAGCTGCCATTATTTGGAGCCTGCACACGTCTCTGAAGGGCAGTGCATTCATTTGGGGAGCTGGAAGCATATAGAATGCGCCTTTCCCACACTGTGCTCCCATTGTGAACAAACCATCAAAAAATGACTGCATAACTGTGCCACGTTGCATATGATCGCAGGTCAATGACAGCGCAGCCCGGTAGAGTGAACCTAACAGCTTTACCATTTTTCTTTAGATTTACCATAAACATATAATACGAGGCCAAACATAAACTTCTACAATTTGCATGCTGTCAGTCAGGCCCTTGCACTACATAGTTGAAGGTACATCTCAAGGGAAGTGAACAAGAAAATTGTTTAATGTATGGTAGGAGCAGTGCTGGAAACTGCAAACTGAGCCAGGAGTGGGTATCTGTCAAAAATGTGCCTAATGGGGGGGGGATAGGAGGTAGATAAGCTGGGGATCCACTGTCAGGTGGAACTCCACTTTAAGGTTAGGTTCACAACTATGCAGCTTGCATGTGATCCGTTTCTGCAGTGCGTTTTGCATTTTTGCCACGTTTTTGATAAGTTTTGTGTGTTTTTTTTTTCTTGCTAGGCAGATTAAAACGCACTACATGCTTGAAAACGCAGAGATGTGAACGTCTCCCATAGGAAATCATGTTAAATGGACTTGAGTACGTTTCCGCAAAACCTTGCGTAAAATGCTTAGGTGTGAACCTAGGGTTATGTGGAATGTATGTTCCTTTCTAAAGGACGTTTTTTTATCAAGTCGTTTTGGGTAAGCTTTAACCAGCTATTTTTACTGCTCCCCAGCCACTCGTGAACAATCCTTAACCACTTGCCAACCGCGCTATAGCCAAATGACAGCTACAGCGCGGTTGTCCAGTTTTGAGAGGGCGTCCTATGATGTCCTCTCAGAATGCGCCCACCCGCTCGCCCCTGGCCATCTCTGTGATCGCTGTGTCCTATGGACATAGCTGATCACGTGATGTGGTAAAATGCCAATCACAGCAGCCTTTTACCACGTGATCAGCCATGTCCAATGACACAGCAGATCGCTGGTAAATGCAGTTGCTGGTTACTGGCTGCACTTTCCTCACGCTGTCACAGCATGAGGAAAGTACTGCCGATAACCGGCAATTGTCAGAGGACGGATCAGCACCAATCATCAGGGCACTGATTAACAGTGCCACCCATCAGTGCTTAGTAGTGCCACCCATCAGTGCTCAAAGTGCGACAGCACTGATAGGTGAAACTTGGCCTTGGCAGGAAGGGGGTATAAGTGCCCAGTAGGCAAGTGGTTAATGGCTGAAGTTCACAAGCTTAGCAGAAGAATATCTTTTAGAAATATGTAGAGATTGTGGCTGTTCTGGACCTTTTGTTCTCTTAGACCCCTTTCGTCTGGGTGGTCCAAACACTTATAATTTTTTTTCAGTTTTTAAGGTGGACATGATCGGAATCTCCATGTAAATCTGTGGGCAGGCAGATCTAAAGGGACATGCATTTATTTACAATCAATTAATTTTGAGTCCATCCAGGTCAGACACAGCACCCTGTTAGTTTGGATGGGCTGCTGTACCTTTGGGGAAAACATCCCTGACCCTTTTTTCAGAACACACAGAACCACATCAAGCTACATTTCCATGTGCCTTGTTTTCAGATGCGTAGTGCTGCTCTTAAGAATTAATGGTACCCTCATTTGTTTGCTACGGAGCAGCGCATTTTGCCTGCAGGTCAGGGAATGTGTGCAATTACCTGCACTTTGCCAGACTTCTACTGCATCACGCAGTTTTGGTATGTTTTATCAAAGCTCGCTAAAAGTCCTGCATGCTGCAATTTTGGTGTGCTTACAGAAAACGAACCGACACCACGCGATGTAATAGAAGTCTGTGGCAAACTGCAGAAAACCTGCAAGTACACTGTGCTGCATGCGCTGTGTGGGTAAAACCACGCTCAGTCAGTGTGAGAACGCCCTAAAGAAGTACTGTCTTCATTTTTTATGTGACCTCTCTGACATTTCCCCATGTGACGCTGTTTACTTTTGATAAATATTTACTTTGGCAGGTTTGTAAAAAACTTTTTTTTTTTCTTCAAGTGTTGCAAAACATACTAAAAGTACTTTTATAAATAAAAAGAATACAAATCAACACCTATGTAAGTGATTTTTATTTTGGTTTGTCCAAAGACAGACAGTGATTATTAGGGCTCCATGCACACTGGATGTGTTTGCCCTGGTGCAGGCACAGGTAGAGACTGCTTGTATTCTAGCCATTCATCCCGGGGTGCATATTGCCTTTAACTCAAGTACCACTTGTTGCACCATTCAGATGCAGCAGGTGTCAGCCTCCCATAGGTAGGCTGCCGGTTGCTGGGCTCGATGATTCTTTGTGCCTGCACC